TAGAGTGTGCACGTAGATAGAGAACACAGACCCGTAAGTAGAGTGCACGTAGAGAACACAGACCCGTAAGTAGAGTGCACGTAGATAGAGAACACAGACCTGTAAGTAGAGTGTGCACGTAGATAGAGAACACAGACCCGTAAGTAGAGTGCACGTAGATAGAGAACACAGACCCGTAACTAGAGAGTGCACGTAGATAGAGAACACAGACCCGTTAGTATTTTATTGTTTAGAATCGCACTCACTCTTTGGCTCCTTTTCATTTCAGTGTTGGAATTCCATGGACTTTAAGAAATAGAGATTTCTGCCAAGTTTATCTTCTTAATTCATGGTAGAGGAAACCCATATTCTTTCAGAAGGAGAGATGTTAATAAAATCTAGTGGAAGTATTTGAATTAGCATCTATTATACTCCTTATTATCATCTTATTACCTTAATGTCATAGTAACTAGTGAAATATGCATGCATTTAGCAAAGAAAATTATAAGAGTTCTTGGAAAACATGCATTCCTGTGTGTTCATACCTTGTCGGTTTTGGGCGTTATTATTGAAACTGGAGTTTTTGAAGTCAGAACATGATGAAGTTGTATGTATCTGTTGATAAGTTGGTTACTTATTTATTTATTTTTTTGTTTACGTTTTTGCCATAGGGCATATGTGCTCACCAGAGAGATGGAGAGAGGGAAAGTGAGAAATTACCCCCTAGAAGAGATGGCCACACCGCAGTTCGCTAGCCTCCGTTCTCCTCCTGGGTCTCTGGGCACGCACACGTGTGCCAGCATGAGTCCCAAGGTGCCGGATCTGGGATTCAAACTGCAGCCACCTATGTGACTGTCCAGCGCCTTAACGACCATGCCACCTACTCGCCCGTAAGTCCGCTACTTTAAGGCATTTCTTCTCTGTCCCGTTCCCCGATAACCATCTTCCTCAAGTGACGGTAGTGACATGCCACCCACAGTCCCAGCATTTTGTGCTTGGCATGGTCATGCTCCCATCTGGTCCTTATAAAGGACCTTAGAAAGATCATCAGTTGTTGGGACCGGCAGCTGGTGTAATGGCTATGTCGCTAGATGCCCGTGGAGACGACCGTGCTTTGAGTCCTGGACCTGGTGGCTTAAACTCACGCTGGGCGCGTATGTGTGCATGCCCAAGATCCCGACAGAAGGATGGAGAAGAAGGGATTGTGGCGTGGCCATTCCCCCTGGGAGGTGATTTCTCGTTTTCTGTCTGTCTCTTTCTGTCTTTCTGGTCAACACCCACAAAAACCTCTCCAAAAAAAAAAAAAAGAAAGATCATTAATTGCATTTGACAGACGAGACTCAGCAAGGGTAAGCAAGATGGTGCAGGGTTAACCAGCTACTTGCAGGAGGCCGGGAACCACAGCCCACTCTTGGGATTTTAGGCAGGCATGCGTGTATGCACATGCGCTGGTGTGATTTTCAAGCCACCAGATCCGAGACTGGAACTGCCATCGGCCATATGGGAGTCTAGTGCCTCAACCACTGTGCCACCTGCTGGTCCTGATTTTGAACTTTTAAAAATCCGTATTCGTCTTTCCTTTTTGCATATCTCATTATGTACTTAAGATAAATTTATATACTTAGTGGAAACTTGACTAGATTACTGAATGAATTTATGATTTCCATAGACGGTTATATTTGTAAGTGAGAATAGCAAAAAGCTTATTGTACATTTTTTTAGGTAAAATATTATATTTCTACTAGGTGTTTTCTTGGCATCTTATTTAAAAGTAATAGCCAAACTTCCAAAATACATACTTTCACGGGCATGTTTATGGCTATCCGCTGTGTTCCAGCATTGTTTGAAGCGCAGCAGTGAAATAATTCTAAAGTTAATTATTTGCTTACAGAGGACCTGCGCATAGATCAGTTAAATAATTCTGAAGTTAATTACTTGCTTAAAGAGAACCCTTATTTTTATAAGCGTGCCATACAGACCTTGTTAATAACATAAAGTGAGCTAAAATGCAAGTGCGAGGAACATAGGGGGTCCACGGAAAATGAACGAGATTAACGAGATTACCTGCGTTCACAGATCTCGTGCTCTAGCTAGGGGAGCAGATTTGCCTTAGACCCGGGAACTGTAATTGTCCTTATGCCAGAGAGGTGTGTAGAGTTCTTTGTGATTCCAGAAGGGGGCGCTGCTAAGGGTGAAAACAGTGTAACGAGGAACGGAACTCATTCCATCATCAGTAGAATTGCCTTGCGAAAGCTCAAATCTGATCAGTTCAAGAGTTTGCCAGACAAAGCAATCGTGGAACAGTTCAGCTAGGGTACCAGCGTGTGCAGTGTACCCAGAGGCAGAAAAAGAACCGAGGAGCACACGAAGATTTGACCAGTCCCTGTGGCTGGGTTGTACATCATGACCGGGCGTTGTGACCAGATGAATGTGAGAAGTAGATTTTTTTCCAAATGATATGGTGTACTTAGGATTCGGGGACAGTACTCTCCAAATATTGTAGAACCAAGAAGTTATTTAAGCTGGAACATCAGTCATGTCTCTTAAGAGGAAGTTCTGTTGGCAACATGAAGGTTGTATTGGAGGGAGAGAGGTTGGTGACCAAGAAAAAGACTTGGTAATAAATTCTTATTATAGGGAATTTGTAAAGGTTGTTTATTACTTCCCGTTTTGGTATATAGATATTTTTGCTGAATACTGAAGGTTTTTTTTCTTTTTTTGGAGAGTTTTTTGCCATAGGGCACATGAGCTCACCAGACAGAAAGAGAGAGACAGAGAGACAGAAAGCGAGAAATCACCCCCCAGGGGGGATGGCCACCCCGCAATCCCTTCTCCTCCATTCTCTCAGGATCTTGGGCACGCATGCACACGCGCCCGGTGTGAGTTTTAAGCCACCGGGTCCAGGATGCGAACCGCTGTCGACTACATGGGAATCCAGTGACATAGCTATTACACTAACTGCTGGTCCCCAATACTGAAGAACTTTTCATTTAAAGTTGCTAGTAAAGAATCTGAGACTCCTTCATTGATCAGTCAGCATTTCAGTGTTTCCTGTTACTGTATTTGTCTAACTCATGTTTCTTGGTACCAAACTTGCTAAATTAAGAGTTTGCTGGATTTAAACTTCTGTTATGTCCACATGATTTAATTCTTTAGTTATTGGACTATTTTAATCCATCATAAATCACCTTGGAGTCCCATAGCCCAAATTAATTGTCCTCATATTGCGATACCCTCCCTGCATGTCTGCGTATTTACCGCATTTTGTCACTGGAAATTGCTAGACATATTGATCAGTGATCTGTGAGGTCTGTGATCTGTTTAATACTGTCTGTTTTAGCAAAGTACACTGTCATGGGAAAACTAAATTTGTAATTTTCAGTTATTTCCTTATTTACCTCCTTGAAATAGTTTATATTTGTGTGTCATACTTCTGTTATACACTACCCTGACATACATGGCTTAACCAATAAATTTTTCACTGTTAATTTTTTTTAGAATTATTTATTTCCATTTATTATTATTATTATTTTAATTTGACCAGAGAAAGAGAGAAAGGGAGAGTGAGAAAGCAAGCCACCAGGTCTGGGACTCAAACTGCAGTCAGCCATGTGGGAATCCAGCACCTTTTACTACCACGCCACCTGCCGGCCCAAATTTCCCACTACTAAATTTTGTATGTAATACTTCTTAAAATTGTATTCAGCCTTAACTAGAAAACTTTTGTAACTATCTGAACTTTTTTTCTGGTTCCTGCATACTAATATGGCAACCTTTCTTTCTGTTTTTATTTTTATATATATTTTTCCAGAATACCATTGTGGAGGCTTCTATTCAACTTCCTCCATCCCTTTTCTCACCGAAGCAAAAAAGAGAAATCCGACCGGCCGACGACTCTGTCTATAAGCTTCAGCTCATCGCGTTCCGTAATGGGAAGCTTTTCCCAGCCACAGGAAATTCAACGCATTTGGCTGACGGTGGAAAACGGCGCACTGTGGTCACCCCGGTGATTCTCACCAAAATAGGTGTGCATGCGGCCTCTGTTCCCCCGTAGTCACTGGACACTGTACCTCCACAGTTCGTGGTTCCTCCAAACGCTTATTTTTGTCTCTTCTTGTTTTAATGAGTCACCAGTGGAAAGAGATCTTGCCAAGGACCCCTTAGCGTGTAAGCTGGCATTTCCCTGCTCCTGACGTTCGTTTCAGAAATGTTTGTGTCTCCCATTGGCTCCAGACGGTGTGAATGTCGACACCCACCACATCCCCGTTAATGTGACGCTGCGTCGGATTGCACACGGGGCAGATGCCGTCGCCGCCCAGTGGGACTTCGATTTGCTGAATGGACAAGGAGGCTGGAAGTCCGACGGGTGCCGAATACTGCACTCGGACGAGAACGTCACCACCATGCAGTGCTCCTCGCTCAGCAACTATGCGGTGTAGATGGTATGGCGGTTGTCAGCTTCCTGCATAAACACTGAGTGCTTCTGCTGTTCCCTGTGCATAATTAAGCTAGAAGGAATTTGGTAACACTTTTAACGTAAACTGCTTTCTTTAATTACGTACAAGGTGATGTTCGGTGAAATTGTGATTTGGTAGGGAAATCGAGTGTACCACCCGGTGGCATGTATGCGATTGAATTTAGTATAGGAATTTTCAGTAAACGTTGTCATTGAATCCGTTCAGCTAGACTCTGACCTTAACACTTGGGTAGATAGTGCATTTATACAAATTCTCTCAACCCAGGGGTCATCTGCCCAGGGATACACAGGGAACCGTGAAGGAAGACGGTGCCCCTCTGCCACCTAGTACCTCCCCCTCTGCCTGTCATGACCGGGGGCGCGTCCACTTTAGAATCCATGGTGATCATTTCTTCACAAGCGGCAGTATTGACACAGGAAACGTCCTTTCAGTTTTAATGCCGAGCGATGTAACTTTTTTTTGGTTATTTACCATGGACCCCTATTAATCTTTTTGATTCAAGTTGTTCATGTACAGCAATGGCTCTTTTTATTAATGAGATGTTTAAGTGAACCTGATTCCTGAGCAGGTAATTATGAAGTTAACCATGCTAGAGATTATTTTACAGGATACTAACATCACAGAGCATGTGTTCAGCACATTGGAAGGAACACTGATAAATCTGAAAGACATTTCCAGAAATGGTTTTAGGTTAGCCTGGGTGTGAGGGCTTATCTAGACAGTATTTTATCGAAATAGTAAATAATCTTGAAACATGGCATACACGACATTTTGTGGACTTTATAAAAAAAAAAAATAGTACTTACCATTAGAAATTATCTTGAAGCAAGCCTGAAGTATCATTAGTTTCCCTCTACTCTTTTAAAGAATATTTATTTTCCCCTTCTCCTTTTTTTTTTTTTTTTTTAAGACTTTCTGTACCTTACCCAACACTGGTCAAATAGAGAGGAAATTGATTACTTCTCAGGGCCTAGGATTCTGTCGTCATTAAGCATTTTGTACAGCTGCTTGACACAGGGTCTTGTGAATTACTCAGTTTGTCTGACAGTGAGGAGTTTCACACTATTTTGACTCTGCTGTTTTTGTGTAAGTCTTTTGGGCTTAAAGTTCACGTATGATTCTTTTGACAAATGCAAGGTGCCGTCTTGATTTCTTTAAGTATGAGTCCTATTTCTCTAAGTTCACATTTTATTTAATATTCATATGCCTTTTACATTAAAGCATGAATCATTAATTAAAGTATGAAGCATTTTTTTCTTTCATTGTAATAGTGCTTCAGATTTTGGGACCAGCAGGTGGCGTGGTGGTTAAGGCACTGGACACTCCCACATGGCTGACCATGTTTCGAGTCCCGGACCTGGTGGCTTGCTTTCTCATTTTTTCTCTCTTGCTGTGTGTGTGTGTCTCTCTCTGGTCAAATAAAATAAATGAATGAATGAATAGAATTAAATAAAGTAATTCTTTAAAAAAAAAGTGCTTTCAATTTTGAGTATAAAATACTCAAATCGATTTACTAAAAGAGAAATAATAGAGATACAGTATTGTCTGAAATGTATATAACAGCTGGGAGAAGTCAGCAAAGTAAACGAAACAACACGGAAGAGGCATTTTGTAAGCTTCCTATCATACTGTACCGTGTGAAACTTTTATTTTTACTTAATCTAATACTGGTTGAAAGCATCTATTTTTGAGCTTCTTAGCTGTTCTTCTAAACTATTTAAATTAGTATAATCCTTTTCTAGAAGGAATAAGCTATTCTTTTATCTCTCAGACTTTTAATCTTTCTAAAAATGTAATACACAACTCTTTAAAGCTAAAATACAGTAATAAGATTTTTCCTGTTTTCAAAGAACATGCTCTCCCTTTCCTTAGATGTAGCTGCCACCCAGAGGCAGCAAAGTGAAATGTATCTGAGGTTGACAAAATTATGATGAAGTTTGTACATGGGAATTGTATAGTTGCTCAGTCCACATAAGATGAGGTTGATGAAATTCTGCATGCTCACTGCTACGTAATTAAACTAGTGTCTGAGAAGAGGAAGTATCTTTTTAATTGTCTGAGTGCATGTGCTTGCCGGAGGAGGAGAGAGAAGGCATCCCCAAATGGGGCGTGGTCACACCAGAGTTTTTTTGCGTCCATTTTTGCATTCTACCTGAATTTGGGGCACACGGACATTTGTGCCTGGCATGGTTTTCAATCCTCCAGGGGAGGATTTGAACCGCATGGTCATTTAGGTGGGATCTGGCCCCCTTAACTACCGCACCACTGGACTGCTCCCAGAGAAAATGACTTTTAAACGTTGGAAACCACCTGGCCAGCCGGTGGCGTGTTTAAGGCAGCTGGGTCCCACACGGCTGACCGCACAGCTGGAGTCCCAGACCCAGTGGCTTGAAAACACACCAGGCGCGTGTGCATGTGTTCCCTGAATCCCCAGAGGAAATGGAGGAGAAGGGATTGCAATGTGGCCATTCCCCTGGGGGCTTCTTTTTTACTTTCCTTCTCTCTCTCTCTCTCTCTCTCTCTCTTTCTCGAGTAAGTACATGTGCCCTATGGCAAATTTAAAAAAAAAAAATATATATATAAATCAGCATCTCTATTTCTTATTCCCCCCACCACCACCTTTTTTTTCCTAAGAAAGAATTTTGCTGTAGACTGTGTGCACTCACTGGAGAGAAAGACAGAAAGTGAGAAATCAACTCCCAGGGCAGAAGGCCACCCTGCAGTCCCTTCTCATTCTCCTCTCGAGATTTTGGGCACACACACGCTCAGTGTGACTTTCACGCTGCTGATTCTGGGATGCAACCCTGGTCAACTATGTGGGAGTTCAGTGACGTAACCATTCAACCATCTGCTGATCCCTAATATTTTTTTAAAATAATAAGTACACCCGTATTTTCCTTGAAAACTATCTTAACATATAATTCTGTAAGCAAGTCTCAATTCCTATCTTGGGAGGTGAGCCATACATTTTTTTTTTTCTGTTTTGGCTTGTCAAGAACTTAGTTTCAACAAAAATGAGATGTAAAGAATATGTTTGTTGGCAAGTCTAGAATAGGTACCCTACGTAGATGCAGTGTACTTCCTGCTGTTGGGTTGTCGGGAGAGTCATGACACACTTTTGCACAGGAAAACATAGGAAAAAATGTGTCATGACTTGTCTGACAACCCAGTATGTACATGACCCATTGCATCGTAAGCCTCAGTGGGAGCCAGGGAAGAAAGGTGAGCACAACTGAGGTTTGCTGAAATGATGAGATTAGAGACAGGCAGGCAGGGCAGGACGGCTCACAGGAGCTGTCTGGT